GAAAGTCGTCGCACGCGACGCTGAGGGTTGAAATCGAGTAAGGAGCGTCAAGAACTTAAGGCAGTCGCAGCGGGCGATTAATTCAGGTCGCGGGGTCGCTCGACGTGCGACAAGAGGGTGGGTTGGAAAGAAGAAGGTGTAGAAAATGGGATAGGCGGGATGTTGAGGAGGGCGATGAGAAGAGAAGAAGAGGATTGGAAGAAGAACAGAGGAGGAGCAGAAGGGGAGGAGGAGGTGAGGTTGGGAATAATTCGTTTAGGTTCAGGTTGCCGGTGCTGCCTCACACTCTGCTTCTACAGACTGCGTCTGGCCAATGCCTCTCTCGCTCTGCCTCTGCCTCTCTACCTCTGAGGTGGTGGTAGTGGTGGGCAGCGGCTTGGGTTTGTGTTGGTGCAGTGCTGCGGTTTCTGTTGCGGTGCAGTGTTCGTGGGCAGCAGACTGGATGGTGGGAGGTAAAAAGGTACCCTACCCAGAAGCAGAACGGCCGTGCCTCTTCGCACCAGACGGACGCAGCGCAGACCAACAGGACTGGACCACCTCAGGTTACCGTCGCGGGGATGTACATGTACTTGGGCGCGTCGTACCCTGTGAGGAGGGCGCTTCGTTAGCGGAAGACCTTGGGTAGCATTTGTTGTGTTTGTTTGGTGGGAGGGTGCGGGAGGCAGACGAACGAGACAGCAGAGGGCGGGACCTGTCCATGCGTCTAGAGCAGGTACTTGTACCTCGACCGGAAAGCCAGGAACAGAACAGACAGAGGAGCGGCCGAACGCTTTTGTTCTGTGAACAGACACTCGACCCCCAAACGCACTGGACTGCACCTCGATGCTGCTAAGCGCGTCGCGCAGTGATCCTACTGGCTGAGCCGGTACCTACCTTGGATAGCCTGTTGGAGCAGGGAGACGGAGGAGCAGGAACAGAGCAGCTGGTGGGAAGGAGGGCAAGGTACAGGAAGAGGCAAGATAGGTAGGTAGTAGGTCAGGTAGATACTAAGTAGGTAGGGTAAGGTAGGTAGAAAGACGGGAGAGGGGACGAGGGGAGGGGACACGATGAGGAGGGGGGACGAGTAAGGCGAGGCAGACAGCCAGAGGCAGCAAGCAAAGGCAAGCAGGGTCATCAAAGGTGTGATGAAGGAGGGGAACCTACCTCAGCAAGGTAAGGTACCTTCAGCAGCAGGTGAGGTAAGGTAGAGAAAGGCATCTGAACCGACTGACTGCGAGCAACAGCAATCGACTCTCGGCCAAAAACAGCAGCAACAGCAACAGCGGTCCCAACCGAGTCAGCGGCGGCGTTGCTGCAATCGGTCAGGATGCACTTCCTCTTTGCAAGCCAGCTCCAGTTCGTGGCGGGATCGATTGCCCAAATGGAACGAGGTACTTCCGCCCACTTGCCCGTTGCTAACAAAGACCATGTATCCATTCCGTATTTCTCGTCTCCATGCCATGCATCAGATGTCCTGCCTCCCAGGCCATCATCTGTCAGATCTGAACTGGAAGGGCATGTCCTCCGTCCTCCTCGTGGGTAACAATATCTGGAGACCTCTGGAGACCTCTGCACCCAGTCTCCAGACCACCAGACTAGACTTGTCAGGACAACAGACGCTGTGCAGTGCAGCACTGCCTGCAGGGAAGCCCGCATGTCCAGGACAGCTTGGGAACCCCGTCTGTAACTCTGTGCGGCAAAGGTATGCGAATACGCACCACCCCGTCTCCAGTCAATAGTCTCCAGTCCCCAGCATCAAGCATCCAGCATCCTCCAGCACACATCATGTACCTCATCTTGTCTTGCAGCTGCGACCCTCAGCCAAGCCCGTCGGACAGAGTACCTTCTGCGTGAATGATGAGTTGCCACGAGGGCCAGAAGGGAGCTCCGCTTTCTTCCTCTGCTTCAGATTCACAACTCGTCTGTCTTTTTCCAGTCTATCTGTGATGCGTCCCGCTGGAACTACAGTACAGTGCACCCTTCGCACGTACGCCTCAATGTAAGGCAATTACGTGGTTCCTGGTGTAAGTCGCCCGTCGTCCGTCCCCGTTCCATCGGTCCCATAACCAACCCAAGGGCATCCTTCCAGGAACCTTCACGTCGACCTTTTCTTGCCCGGGTTGTCTTGTTCAACTACACACAGGCCTTGCGCAAACTCTGCCATCCTACCGTCAGCCATGTGTCGCGGAGTCGCGACTTTGACCCAACACCCAATTGACTCGGCCGTCTGTTATTCAGAGTTTTCTCCTCATCAACGTTATGCCGTACCTGACACCGTGACGGACGCCCGCGCGTCGCCTACGCATCCCTCTCTTCTAAAAACTGCCCCTTCAGCCCGAACTCTATCCCCAGGGTGTCCCCCCAGAAGCCGCCCGTGCTCTCTAGTCTCTACGCCGTAAGAACTTTCCCAGAGACGCGTGAACGTTCGCCGCAGTGAGTACAACCTGCGGCCCGACTGATCCATGTTATGGACTGGGTCTGCCGGCCAACACGGGACGAAAGAGGAGGCAGGCTGCAAACAGGCAGGGGCTGAGACGACGTCCATCACTGAGTACAGACGACGACGACTCGCCGGGTACAAGCTGCACTAAAGCATGTTGGAGATGAGTCGTCTGTTTCTCTCGATCAACCGTTTCTTGCGAGATCAGTGTCAAGCACGAACATGGCGGGGCGGCTTCCAGTGCTATTCTTGGTCTGCCTGGGCTGTCATCAATTAACAAATATTGACTACGCCAGCATCGACCGGCGCAGTCTCCCGTTCAGGTCGCACCAAGGTCAGACAGCGGCCGGCCCACACCTGATTAGCGAGGACGTCCCTGGCGCAAATCATGAAGGTATCCAGTCCTGGGTATCCATTGACGTCTACAGCGCCGGAGGGCAGAGGTAGAGACTGGCCAGACATTGGTGTCTTGGTCCGAACAGTTGGGCATAAGACCTCTAGCGGCACTGATTGCCAGAGGCAAAGATTCAGATCAGAGATGCATCGCAAGATCGACGCTGGACCCCGTCCCGGCCAATGCACACACAACTCGTGGTACATACCAAAAGTTGCTCACCACGCAAATGGCACAAGCTTCTAGAGAGAGCTCTGTGCTTTTCTCTGATGAGTGAGGTGGACAGCCTGAAGCACAAACAACCATCCGGTCCTTAGCCAGGCGCTATTCCACTAGCTGCATCTCAGCGGCCATCAGTGCCCATCCGTGGGGCAACCCACAAGCCGACGGATGGGCTCTGCATCGCAAATTGCGCTGCTGTCGTCCATTTCTCCAAGGGTGGGAAAATGACCGTGGTGAAACTTCAACGCTGATCGACGGTCTCCCGCATCTCCTTGAGGCTGCAGCAACTGCTTCGCTGGTGTCGGTAAAGTCAGCAGCCCAGAAAGCCACGTGCAGAACAGCGGTCACCGAAGTTTCCAGCGCCATATTGGAACTGTTAAGGTCAGAGACGGACGGCAAGCAGCGAGGGGGGTCTGGCTTCATGCGTCTCTCTCGTCAGCATCATTGGATTGCCGCGGAACGCCGGGCTTACAGCGTCATAATGCAACGGTGGGAGACACCTCAATGCATATGACGACCAGATCATTGGACAGCCTGGCGAGGCATAGGGTGAGCGGGAGTGTGAGCGTCGCCGCGTTGGGCCGTCCGCAGACCGCAGAACGCAGGGCGCATCACGCAGCTTAACATCAGGACAGTATCACAGGCCACCTATCCAACCCAATCCGACCCCGAGAGGCAGGTAATTCCTCCGACGATCCGACAGAACGCCTCGCAACTTGCCAGATTTCCTTGCCAAAGTAGCACTGGTGGCACATAGCTGATGGGCCGACCACAAGACCCCCGGAGAGGTCTAGCCCATGAATCCTTCCAGGACAAGACCGTTAGGGTCCATATCTTTTTTGATATGCTTGCTGCATTGCCTCCTCGGTCGCACCCTGCTTCTCCAGCGTGCCCGTATCCGTCAGGCAAGGCTGTTTTACGATGTGGCCTTTGACAGCAACAGGTCTCGACCGTTCTCGTCTGTTTTAGCTCAATTGTTTGCTCCTTCAGACAGTCTGTCTGACTCTCATCAGCCAACCGCCATCCGGACGTCCAAAGTCATCTAGAATTTTGTTGGCGTTTCTATTTCTGGCTCACGAGTCACTGAAAACTGTAGCTGCATTTGGCCCGGCCACTGATTGGTGCCCTTGAAAGCGTCGTTTGTTTCAGCATCTGCGAGCGCCTAACAACCAATCACAGTAGCAAGCTCCGAGAAGCACTTGGGAACGCCCTGAGTCTATGTTTCTAGCGGGGCCTCAGGCAGGCGAGACCAAAGTCGATAGGCTGCTTACTTAATGCATCTGTTGCGTCACGGCCCGGCTTTCTGCCGAAGGAGAGCTCGCGTCGTCGGTGCCCTCCACTTTATTTCCTCCAAAACCCAACGTCATTGACGCCTGCGAAATTCTCTCCTCCACACACAACATCCATTGCTAGGACTTGGAGCTCTCAACAGCCCCTTCACGTCCGTCCTTGGATCGCAATTAGAGACTGGAGGGACGCTTTGGTGAAGCAGAAGATAGAGAATTTGCTTGTCAATTGCGGCGCGTACGCACCCAAACCCAAAAGGTAAGGCAAAACTCGTCGAACACAAAAAAACATTTCCTCGAGCTTCGCGTGATGAGTCTATATTTATTGGAGCTGTCTAAATCCCCCCTATGTTGACACACTCTTACCGTATACGCAAAAAACTGAAACTTGCGCTCAACTTTCTCTTCATTTATGAAATAAAGTGTCTGAATTTTGGCTAATTCAAGACACAGATCAGAAGCTCTACGACGACCACGACCTTGACGACACCAACCGACACGGCTGACCTTTTTTTTTTCCCCCCCTCTCTAACTTTTTATTTCCTTACTCGTTCTCTTTTGGGCCCCACGCGTTTCCTCTTTTACTCTTCGCGCCTTACCTTATCCATTCGTGAAGCTCCATCCATACGCCCCACTATCCACGCTCTTCGCAACACCATCGTGAACCTCAACCGCATCAATGGACGTCGCAAACGGAGCTGCGCAGGCCGCGGCCGTGGCGCCTGCAACGGCCAACGGTAACGGCGAGGCCGGCGCGCCATCCGACTCGGGAGAATTCAAGCTCAAATTCTGCACCGTCTGCGCGAGTAACCAGAACAGGTGAGCATGACCAACCTTGATCGCGACGAACAATCGCGCGTCCACTCGAAGCTTGTCCTAGGCAGTAGAAGACATGTCGCTGACGTATCCCGCAACCCAGATCTATGGTGTCTCATCTCCGTCTCGCAAACGCCAACTACCCCGTAATCTCCTTCGGCACGGGCTCCCTCGTCCGCCTGCCGGGCCCGTCCATAACGCAGCCCAACGTCTACCACTTCAACAAGACGTCGTACGACTCCATCTTCAAGGAGCTCGAGTCCAAGGATCCCCGCCTCTACCGCCTCAACGGCGTCCTCAACATGGTCGACCGCAACCGCCACGTGAAGTGGGGCCCCGAGCGCTGGCAGGACTGGCAGGTCGGCATGCCGCGTCTGCAGCACACCGAGGATCGCGGCAGCGTGGGCACCGAGGGCGGCGTCGTCGACATCGTCATCACCTGCGAGGAGCGCTGCTGGGACGCCGTCATCGATGACCTCATGAACCGCGGCAGCCCGCTCAACCGCCCCGTGCACGTCATCAACGTCGACATCAAGGACAACCACGAGGAGGCGAGCGTCGGCGGTAAGGCGATCCTGGACCTCGCGAACCACCTGAACGAGGCGGCCAAGCGAGAGAGGGAGGCGGTCGGCGCGGAGGTGTTCGACAACGGCAGCGCGTCGGCGAGAGCAAGCTTCGACGAGAAGGTGCCGGAGATCCTCGCGGAGTGGCAGGACCGGTGGCCGCATTTGCCTGCGATCTGGACCTTGGCCTGGTTCTGATCATGCTCTCTCTCTGTGTCTCTCTCGAGTTCGGAGAATTAGAACGTGCCGCGTCATGGTTATGGGCTCCGGGAAAGACGGCGCAAAACGGAACGGGCGTCCTCAGCTTGGGCGGGGATCAGCTCCCGACGGAAAGACATGGTCAGTTCGCTGTTTTGCTCCGGGACGGCTATCGCAGATCCCAACGGACCGGGCCCGAGAGAGAAAAAAAGTCCCGGCAAAGCACACACCATATTAGTATTATCATGAGACCCGACGGCATGAGGTCCCACGGGGCACACACATCGCGCATCACAATCTGGAAGGACGATGCGAAGCGGGCGGGGGTGATCATCCGGGGGAAGCATAAACCAGAGGAGGGATCCAGCTCGTTGGTCTAAATATACACAACAAAGGCTCCGGTCCCGCGTTGGATGGGAAGGAAGCAAGAGCGGTTTTTGTTTCCATCAGACGAAAGAATTCATGCGGGTTGGGAATGGGATACCCCACGCGGACGTGCTCCAGTAGACGACAATTGCAGTAGAAGAAGGGAAGCCGTAAGAGCATGCGGCCCTCGTCCAAAATTTCGAGACGAGAATCTGCGCGCGCGACTCATGGGCCAGGAGAAACTGCTCTCGCATCAAGAGAGTTCTCATACAACGAACGCAAACGTACATAAACTACGTAGGATGGTTTAATCATAATATCACTCCATAAAGAAACTTGAACGTCACTACGCCTGCGCGGATGCAACCTTGCCTTACCGAGCCTCAGATTAAACTACGTTGCTCGTTCTCGTCGATAAACGTGTTTCCCAACGTCGCATGCCGCTGCCGTTGATTCCCGCGCGCACACTTTTTAAGCTATCGCAGCCGCGTTTCGAGCTAGCCTCAGTCGAGGCAGGTTTCACGCACAAAAGTCGGCGGTCGGACCTTTTCCCGGGGTTTCCCGAGAACCGCAAAAGAGCTCACGGTGCAATTTTCCGTGGTAAATTTGTAGAGACTACACAGCCCTCGAAGTGAAATTAAGCTGGCCTTTTGGCTCAGGTGGATGTGGGGGAGGAAGAGGAAGAACCGACAGCTCTGGGATCGTTTCCGTCTTTTTGAGTTTGCATGCCTCTTGCCTGTGGTCTTGCTCGGACTTTGTTCATAAATCGATAGACTTGACGCTTGTGCTAGAGCCGCAGAGAAAACATGACGCGGAACGGGAGGTTTGATAGCGGCTAAGACGGCTTTGATGATGTGGAAAATTCGTCGTTGTTGTTAGTATTCTGACGTCAAATAGTCACTTGATTTGCCTGCACTTGCGGGAATATTATTGCTAAGCCTCGCCGGTGAGCCAAACTCGTGTAGACCATTTGCTGGTCGTGTGGTTAGTCGCAATATGTCGGGCAATTGATCAAGACTGGCACGGGACTGAACGGCAGAAGCAAATTGCAGGCGGATGAACCGGAGTGTCCCTGTGAGTTTTGAAGTGGTGGGGATTTTCCATGATGGGCGCAGGCCCGCGTATGATCGTATCCGCGATCCCTCGTGTAGCTTCGAGGCCACCCTTCCTTCGCCAGCTTCCATCGAATGTTCGCTGGGCGTGGCCAAGCTTCATTCCCGTCTCAGGGCGGGCGCGTTGGACGACGGGGAGGGGTTCATGCGGTTTGGATGTACCTTGCCATGTCACATGTCGCCTGGGAGCCTCACCTCGTGGCCGGGTCTCCTCTGCCCAGGGCATTCGGTTCGGGATCGAGGGTGATTGGCCCGGTAGCAGAGACCCAGTGACACCCGAATCAGGGGTTTGCTTGAAAATCCGAAGACAGTTGGCCAGCGCCTTTTCTGAGCACACGAAAAAGAAAGCACTGACGGCAGAATGATCGCGGCGGCGATGTCGAGTCCCCGAGGCGAGCTCGGCGGAGGCCTTCCAGACGGCTTGTCAGATTTGGGGATCTGGATTTTGAGGAATGGATCCCGCTCGATGGCCTAGGAGGGCTAGAAGAGTCGAGACTCTGGTGAGAGAGGCCGTGGACGACGGATGCAGCAAGAGCAGGGCGAGCCAGATGAGGTGCAATTTTAGGTGCAATAAAACGGTGCATGGGGCATTGGCAGTTGACGAGGGTTGCGCATCGGTTGTCTGGACAGAGCAGGCCGTGGGTATCTTGCTAACGACCGTGGCTGACGGACGGCACGGCTGTACGTATAGGAGACTTCTTCTAGGAAGGATATTTACAACCAGAGATTGTCGATAAGATTTTGGTGTATTTCTCCGTCTTCCTTGCCATGGGTTCTCGCGGCCTCTGGGCCAGTGTCATATCTGTCTGCAGTGCTCTCCTCGGCGACGGGTATCTAGTCCAGAGTCAGTGGAATCAGCAGAGCCAAGAGTACGGGGCTGTCAGGGCCGTCCGCTCGCATAAGGCGGGCAAGGCAAGACGGACGACAAGCAGTGATGACAGTGACAGGCTGTCAAGACTGGAACTTGAAGGCTGCAGACGCAAAGCAAAGCAAAGGCAGTGCCAACGTCTCGGTGCGACCTGGACTGGATTGCCAGAGTTCCGGCCCCCTTGCGCAGGGACGCTTTGAGAATCGCATCTCCACCATGCTTAAAAGGCATCCTTGTTCGATGCAACTGAACAGCAGGTTAAGGTCAGGCACGTCCGGATATGCCCATGGCCAGTGCCCCCTTATCCTTGCCCTTGTCTTCCGAATCTCCATCTCCCACAGACACCGCCACCGTCGAGTGACAGTCTGGGCCCCGGTCCCGGGCAGCGTGTGAAGGCCGCGGTGGACGGGTTGGCAAAAATCCACAATCGAATTTTGTTGCTAGCGCGCGCCAGCAAGATGGACCAATGGGTTGTGGAAAGGCCGCGCCATCACGGCCAAGGGTGGTTATTGCATCAGGGGTGGAAGTCTGGCAGCGGCCGGCGCGACATGGCCTGGGGATCGGGAGGATGGATAGGAAGATTTGAAAGAGAGGAAGGGGAATAGTGCAGTCAGTCGTCGGGGGACCCCTTGGAGGTGCGGATGGGAAAGGGGAGATGGATGGATGGATGCTATGCACGGCGGCATGAATCTGTGATGCACTGATGCGTGTACCGTACCTCAGCCCAGCGGGTGTGGTGCGTGTGTACGTGTGTGTGTGGGCGGACAGACGGATGGATGAACGATGGGAACTGCCTTGGGTGCTGGTGAAGAAAAGACATGACGAACGTGCGGGTAAAGGAGGAGGTGGTCGATGTGAGACACGGATGAGGTGACTTGGGCTGCTTCTCAGCTGAGAGACTGCAGCGAATGAATCAACGAAGGAACTTGACTGGCAGGCGTCAAGAGTCAGAACGCAGGTACCGTGTATCCGTAGTTCTGTAAGGTCAGAGGCAGGAACAAACTCTGGCGCTAATTCCTTGCCGCTGTGCATCGTTCCTGACTGGATGCATTGCAACTTCCATCCATCGTAGTAATTAGGTACTGCGTGGTAGTGTAGACGAACCCGCGAATCATTCGCGATTTCCGAATGCCCGCGCAGAGTTGCAGAGAACCCCACTCCCAATTCAATACCTACCGCCAACTTTGGAAAGCAGGCAGTGGCGGGAGATGAGAATCCGGAATGGCATCCTTCCCGCGCGAATTCCTTCTTTTCAGCGTGCCAGGGGCCATGGTCTTGTCTCTCCACGTCGCGTCGTGTGTCTTGTGTTGTCTCTGGGAACCTATACCAAGTACTCCGTATGTCCAAGTCCAAAGTCGCGATAGGCTTCTCTGTCCCGGTCCCCACTCGCCTTAGCTTGTTTTGCCCGATCTCTGCCTTTGCGAGAGCCGGGCGCCATGTAACGGCAGATGCCATTCTCGCCTTGTTCACACGTCAAGGCCACCCTCAGACTTTGGGCTGATGGTGAAGCTCAAGCCTGCTTCAACTTCGTCGGTAGAAGCCCAAGGGGTGAACAAGAAACAGCCTCGCCTCGCACTGTCTGACTCCGGATCTCGAAATGCATAGGTCCGATCCGAGTCTTCGTCGTCGTCGTCAACCAGCGAAGGTCAACATGTCGGGCAGCGCGTCGTCGTAGCATCAAAAAGTGGAAGAGCGTGGCAGTGACAGAGGCAATCGCTATGATCAAGGCCCTTAATAACATGGGCATTTGGTCAGGTCCCTCCCCAAATCATCCCCGGAGCGCTCCCAAAGCAGACGATCAGCGTGGAATCCAAGTGGGGCACTGCTGCCAATGGTAATTTGCAAGTACCGTTCGCAACATTTTCCAGCAGGCGTCGCCTGTCCCGGTGGTCTAACGGTACAAGCCACTACAACGGCCAGTGTCTCCAGTGTCATTTCCCCTCCTCCACCCCCCTTCCACACTTGCACCGCACCTTCCCCTTCCCCCCCTTCCACTATCGTGCCCCCCTTCCCCCCTTCCCCTTGTCTTGCCATTGCACCCCCGGCCATCCATCGCTCCAGCACCAGTGATCCGCTACGCCGCGCAGCCGTCCACTGGCAGTCCAGAGCAGTCCACCACCATCACTTCATTCATCGTCACCTCCTCCGTCACTGTCCAGGTCCAGAGCCAGTGCGCGGCGTGCCTGACTTACAGCGCACAAACCACACCACCAAGCGACGGGAGGCCCTCTTGCGCAGCACTCTTAGCGGCCCAGATCTCCCACAACCCACTGGACTCACTCATCCTAACGAGTCCTAACCCCCCTTTTTGGACCCCCAGCCGCCGCCATCTCGCTGCCGCCATTGGTCGTGGTATCCCGGCCAGCCACCTTGACGTTTCATGCCTCACAACCTCGTCGCGGATTCTGCTGTTGTCTTCCTACTGCCTACATACTTTGCTGCTCCGTCGTCTCTTCTCTGCAGCTTGGCTTTTTGGGGCTTTTGCAAGGTTGCTTTGGACTCTGTTTTTTTTCTACGGCCCGTACTACGTCGTCGTCTGCTTGCTTCCAACAACCTACTGGATACCAGCACGTCAATTGCATACTGTGTGCAGCACTAGCTTCTTCTACTGCAGCATCTCGTCCCACGCTTCTTCTTCTTCTGCGGCATTTGCT